TCTGGAGGTGGACAGTAGGGATGGTTGCCCAACAATGTGAATGTTCTTGGCATGACTGAACCTTATACTTAAAAATGGTCAAGGTGGAAGATTGTATGCTATGTGCATTTTAAAACCTTTTTTTTTTTTTTTGCTGTGCCAGGTCTTAGCAGCGGCACACGGGGTCTTCTATCTTCAATGCAGCACGTGGGATCTTTAGCTGCAGCACGTGAGATCTAGTTCCCTGACCGGGGACTGAACCCAGGCCCCCTGCATTGGGAGCGTGGAGTCTTCGCCACTGGACTGCCAGGAAGTCCTTCAACAAAACTCTTAAAAACGGAAAAATAAAAAGCCTTCTTCAGCCTCCCGAAGTTTCCCCCCTCTCTCCACCCCTCCCCCTGCCCGCCGGTGCTCGGCCCCCACCTCTGCGGCTTGCGTGGTCGTGTAGCACGTTCGCTACCAAAACCCATCTGAGGGGGTTTTCTGGACGACTGCTCATCACCTGGAAGGTACCCACCAGCAGAGTCAGGAGACACCTGGTCTGACCTGTGGCTGGTGTTTCTTCAGCCCTCAGGGGGGTGCCTGGCGCACAGTAGGTGCTCAGGAAATAACTGGCAAAGAAACACCACTCTGCCGAAGAGGAGGTTAGGGTTAGGGCCGGGTGGAACTGGGTGAGGTCACAGAGAGAAGAGGTGCAGACGGGAGGGAGCCCACTTCCCACCGGAGGCGGTTCCCTGGGAAGGCTGCCTGCAGGGGAGGAAGCTGCGGCAGGTGTGACCCGGCCTCCTGGGCCCAGAGGAGCGCGGCTGCAGTGGAGCCAACGCGCGCCAGAACACGGGGTTCACGGTCTGCGGCGTGGAGAAGGTGCAGGGTGACATTTAACACGGGTTGGGGGCTGGCCCCGTGGAGATGACCAGAGTTCAAGCAGATCCTTTAACCCCGACAGTCAGGGCGAGGTCGCAGGTGCAAAGCTGGGGTTAGGAGGCCAGCAAGGGCCTCCCCACCCCAACCGGGACCCTGGGTGCAGCCAGGAGCGGGGGTCCTGCCTGGGCAGGGACCAGAGAGGGTGGGCAGGCAGGACGGGTCTGCTCCAGAGGACAGGGCTGGGCCCAGGGGTGGACCCGTCCAAGAAAACAACATCCTTGGTGACAACGGGACTCCAGCCAGGGAGGAGGTAACCCGAGGGGCCGCCAACTCCGGGGCTGATCTCGGGGGAGCTGGTACATTGCCCGAAAAGTTCCCGTTAGCTTGAAAACCGGGCGCACTGTCGGGAGGAAAACCGGCCAGCAGCTTGTGAATGTCTCCTCTCATTGCTAGATCTATTTTTAGGTCCGTCTCGATTCCCTTTCTTTGCCCCCTCTTTCCTTCCACCCACACCCTCTGTCTGTCGCGAGTGGGAGCGAGTGAGGTCAGACAGGTGGGTGGACCAGCTGGGCTCGGCTTCCTGTCCCGCTGCGAAAATCTCTCCCCTCCTGCCTGGGTCATCCCAAAACATCTGGGAAGGGTGGGTGAGGCTCAGCACTTTATTTATTGTTACGTAAACCGTATCACCCTGGAGGAAGGGTGGGGCTCACCACCATATCCCCACACACACCCAAGGTCCAGGGGAGGCCATCCCAGTCCAGGGCTGCCCCTTTGAGACGGCTGGGGTGGAAATATGAGTCCCCTTGCCCCCAGGACCCAACAAAGGCACAGAGAGGTGAGGTCTGCTTTTCGGAGAAGCAGAATTGTCAGCGAGGATGGGAGACGGAAGAACAAGAAGTGAACGTTCCACCTCCTCGCCCCAGGAAAGACTGCTCCATCTGGAAACTTCCCAGTGGCCGAGCGGCCCTCATCCCCCAGGACTACCAGGGAGCGCCCTGCAACAGCCTGTGGTGGGGGCTTGATCAGGAGGTACAGACACTGGTTGAAACCCTCTCCTGGGATCCACCCGCAGGAAAATGTTTGTGTGAGGAGGGGTACGTACAGGTGCCCTGCAGGGCTGTCCTCAGAGCAGAGGCGGCTAAGACTCCAAGCTCCTAATGCAGGGGGCCTGGGGGTTCGATCCCCAGTCGGGGAACACGGTCCCACGTGCTGCAACTAAGAGTTTGCCCGCCTCAATTAAAAGACCCTGCATGCTGCAACGAAGGCCAGGAATCCTGTGTGCAGACCAATAAATCAGTTATTTCCCAAACATCAGAGACACTCTAAATGCCCCTCAGTGAGGGGAGGGCAGAAAAATGACAGCCCATCCAGACACTGGAAGAGTCGGGCACGAAATGAAGGAAGGGAGAGCTCCCTGCACTGACGTGGGACAATGCCTAAAATACTAGCGAATGAACCCCACCAAGCGACTGCCCCTGTTTCTCAGAGCTTGATACGGTTTATGGGGGAAAAAAAAACACAGCTCCACAAATAATGCCATCCATTTCGTCCATTTCCAACACTTAATAAATGATGGATGTCAGTGGAATGCAGGGGAGAAGCTGTGGAAGGACACACAGCCGGCCGCATACCAGGTACCCCGGCGAGCGCCCCGGGGCCGGGAAGGAGCGCCCCAGGGCACTGAGCCCTCGCCTGCGGGGATCTCAGACGTGACGAGGACCGCCCAGCGGAGCGCGCCTCGGGTGACGGAGACCTGACGTCCCCAGGGGCCTCCACTGCTGCAGCATCACAGAGGCCTCACAGGGAGGACGGGGCGGGGCGGCTAGAGGGGGGCGCACAGTCTGTTTGGCAGGTGAGGAGGCTGGGCTCCCGAGAGTGGACCGACCAGCCTGGGGGGTCTGGCCTGCCCCGTCTCCCTCTGGGCGCTCAGGACGGGACGGTCCTTCTCATGGTGGCAAGTGGCCGGCAACACAGCGGGAGGGGGAGACGCAGGCGGTCCCAGGGGAAGGTGGGGAGCCATCACGGGGTACACGGAGCTGCAAGTGGGGGGCCCCACCGCTGTCTCAGCCCCTCGGCTCTGCGGGGACCCAGCCCCAGCCCCAGCGTCAGAGGACCGACCCCCGAGGACAGCGGGGGCGCTCTGCTCCCAGACTCCACGACCCCAGCGATGCCCAGAAGAGCCAGCGTCAGAGCTCACCTCCCTTCCCCACATGCGGATCGCAGCAGAGAAACAGACAGACAAGACTGGGTTTGGAGTCAGCCCTGTTTCCAGCCCCTTCAATCACGTGCAGTGTGGCCTTGGGCAAGTGACTTAACCTTTCTGAACCTCTAAGTCCTCGACCACAGAACATGGGAAATGCCCCCGACTTCAGCGCTGTTGTAAGGAATGAGAGAGAGAGCGGACTTGAGACCGCTGAGTGCCCGGCACACAGCTCGCTGCCCCGAGAGTGAGGAGCAGCGAGAGGAGGGAAGGGGAAGGGACCACGGCCGCTGGTGGGAACGCCCCCGAGCCTAACCCTGACCTAACCCTAACCCTGACCTAACCCTAACCTAACACTAACCCTAACCTAACCCAACCCAACCCTAACCCAACCCAGCCCTAACCCTTGAGCATCCTCACAGCACCGGGCAGATGACGTGAAAAGCCCTGTGCAGACAGGTGAGTGAACTTTTAAAAGAAACCAAATGCACGAGCCAAAATGAAACTCGTGCCCATTTGTCAACTGCTCGGTAAGTGCCAGGCACCTGGGCTGGTGCTCCCGGAGGAAGAGCCTGTGGTCAGAGTGGACCACCTCACCTGGGCTGGGAGGGGAGGATGCCTGCCCGCAGTCGGGGACAGAGAGGAACAGACGCTGAGGGAGGAGCCTGCTCCCCTGCGTTCGGGCTCCTTCTCCCCGGCAGACGGGAGGGGGCCCAGGAGATGAGGGGAGACCCCCAGGCTGGTCTCGGGTGGCCCGGCAGTGGGTGCCACCCTGGTCTAAACTCCTGGGCCCCAGAGCCTCGTGATGTTGCCTGGGGGACACCAGTAACAGCGGTGTGGCCACAGACAGGTTCTTCGGCTCCGATAGTTTCTGCAAACGTGAATATGGGAAAACAGCCCGTGTCCGGGAAGTGCATGAAAGGGCTGAGCTTTGGTTGGGAATGGCGAGAGGGACGGGCTCACGCCAGCACCGGATGGCGAGCAGATGTAAGCACCACCACGAACAGGCCTGATGCCTGATAACAAGGTCCTGGCCTCGACTGTGACCTGAGCCTCACCTTACCACCCACCTCCAGGGCTTCCGTGGTGGCTCAGATGCTAAAGAATCTGCCTGCAATGCAGGACACCAAGGTTCGATCCCTGGGTTGGGAAGATCCCCTGGAGGAGGGCATACAACCCACTCCAGCATTCTTGCCTGGAGAATCCCATGGACAGAGGAGCCTGGCGGCTACAGTCCGTAGGGTCACAGAGAGTCGGACACGACTGAGTCATTAGCACTTTCAGGTTCACTTTCTCTCAGCCCCACCCACCTCCCCACCCCTCACTCCAACATCACTGTAGGGAGTAAGGACATCTTCATGAAACTCACTCACAATCCTAACTCATGGCACCCTCACAATTCCCACTTCACAGATGAGGAAACTGAGGCCCAGGGCCCCGAGGTCATCGGAATCTAGCCCTTTGTGCTCACTCAGTCGTGTCTGACTCTTTGTGACTCCGTGAACAGTAGCCTGCCAGGCTCCTCTGTCCGTGGGGATTCTCCAGGCAAGAATACTGGAGAGGGTTGCCATGCCCTTCTCCAGGGGATCTTCTGAACCCAGGGACTGAACCCCGGTCTCCTGCATGGCAGGCAGATTCTTCACCATCGGAGCCACCAGGGAAGCGCTGCCTTGATTCAAGTCAGGCAGCTCGATCCCACGTCCCCCCCGCCCCCACTGAGGCTCTGGAAGCCCCAGGCTCCGGGGACCCAAGCGGGCACGAGCAGTCAGCCCCGCAGCATCCCAAGGCCCTGTCTGCCATGTGTCTTCAGGCAGCAGCCCCGAACGAGACTCCGCCTCTACATCCAGCCAAGGCTCAGCTGTCTGCAAAGAGCTCCCTCCGCCCCAAGACGGAAGGGATGGACCTTCCCTCCACGTTCACATCTCTGACCCCTACAACCCACCGGCCTCCCGCCTAC